CCTCAGACCCAGGAGTCCAGGCTCCCAGCCCCTCCTCCCTCGGACCCAGGAGTCCAGACCCCAGCCCCTCCTCCCTCGACCCAGGAGTCCAGACCCCAGCCCCTCCTTCCTCAGACCCAGGAGTCCAGGCCCCCAGCCCCTCCTCCCTCAGACCCACAAATTTAGGCCCCCAGCCCCTCCTCCCTCAGACCCAGGAGTCCAGACCCCAGCCCCTCCTTCCTCAGACCCAGGAGTCCAGGCCCCCCAGCCCGTCCTCCCTCAGACCCTGGAGTCCAGACCCCGCAGCCCCTCCTCCCTCAGACCCTGGAGTCCAGACACCCCAGTCCCTCCTCCCTCAGACCCTGGAGTCCAGACACCCCAGTCCCTCCTCCCTCAAACCCTGGAGTCTAGACCCCCCAGTCCCTCCTCCCTCAAACCCTGGAGTCTAGACCCCCCAGCCCCTCATCCCTCAGACCGAGGAATTTAGGCCCCCCACCCCCTTCCTCCCTCAGACCCAGGAATCCAGGCCCCAGCCCCCTCCACCCTCAGATCCAGGAATCCATGGTGCCTCTGACACTCACACGATCCAGACACCGGAGATAGCCCACACAGCAAGGAAGGCAGGCATCAGGGACAAGTGGCCCCACATGCTGGGCTCTGCAGGGGAAGGACAGGGGCTGAGGCTGGGCTTGTCTCTCTCACACCTGAAGAACCAGCCCTCAGCAGGGTCCAGGTGTATGAGATTGTGGCCCCAGCCTCTGGGCTCCCTTTGGCTCTCAGGCGGAAGTGATGAGGCTCTGATCTAATCGGCCAGCTATCCACTCCTGGCCATATCCCTATCTTTCCTGCAGCGTTCAATCCTGTCTCACAGATTCTCCTGCCTGGAGAATTTCTCCCTGCACCTCACAGCCTCCAGGGCCTCCCTGGGATGCTCACCTCTCCAAGCTCCCTGGGGCTCTCAGTCCTGGAACTGGGGCTGGGTGAGCCTGGGGAAGAATGGCTGGCATTTCAGGATGGGGCTCAGGCAGGCCGAGGCAGAGGCAAAGTCCATGCTGGAGTGCTGCCTGGGACCTTGTGTCTGTCCACCACTTCCGGAGGGCTCTTTACCCAAACCGCCACATCCTGTCTCCTCAGAACGTAGCAGGCTGCACCTTAGCTTCAGGGGCCCCTAATCTCCTTCCTCCAGCTTTGTGGGTTCAACGTCCAAAGTCTCAGCCCTTCCCTCCCCAGGAACCAGAAATCAGAGCCTGCAGCTCCCTCCAGCCTGGAAGACCCAGAATTCCAGGGCCCCAGTTGCTCATAGAATGCAGATATTCTTCTGTACCTCCTGGTGTCCAAACTCCCAGCGCTTACCTACTTGGGCACCCAAGAGTGAGGTCCTCAGGTCCGCCTGCTCTGGGAGCAGCTTCTGTTTTTGGGCTGAGATACAGAGCCCTGATGACCCCGCCTCCTCCCCTCCGCTCTCCTTCCTCTCACCCTTCCCCTTTCCCTGCTGGAGTTCCCCAGGCAGGCTGAGCGTGGGTGGGAAGGGAGCTCTTGGTGATGACATCTGCATCCGAAACCCCCCCAGCGAGACAAAGACTGCGTCTGCTGCGTGACCCTTTCTTTCTCTCTCCCAGTAGCCGCCTTCAGCTTCTGACCTCTTCCCAGATTGGTGCTTGAGTATATTCGGTCATGGCCTCCTCCTTCTTCTTAGGACCCAGGAGTCCAGTCCCTCAGACCCTCCTCCCTCAGACCCAAGGTCAGACCTCTAAGTCCTCATCCCTTAGACTCGGGAGTCGCCCCTGCCTCTGACACTCACGAGGTCCAGACCCCAAGTAGGGGCAGGGACAGGCGGCGTCCCATGCTGGGCTCTGCAGGGGAACAAGAGGGGCTGAAGCTGGGCCCCTCCCTCTTTCCTCTCCCTCTGTCTCTCTCCTACCTTCACACCTGAAGAACCAGCCCTCAGAAGGGCCCAGGTGCCTGAGATTGTGGCCCCGGCCTCCGGCCCCCCATTGGCTCTCAGGCAGAAGTCACAGGTGGGGGCTGATCTAACCGGCAGGCCAGCTGTCCTCCACTTGGGGCAATGTCCCACCCATCCTGCAGTGTTAAATCCTGTTTCACAGATTCTCCTGCTTGGGGAGTTTCTCCTGCCCTCCCAGACCCTCCCTTCTCTCCCAGCCTCCGGGTCCTCCCCAGGATGCTCCGGTCTCCAAGCTCCCTGGGGTTCTCAGTCCTGGGACTGGGGCTGGGTGAGCTTGGGGAAAAAGGGCTGGCATTTATGGGGTGGAGCTCAGGCATGCTGCAGAGGCTAAGTCCAGTCTGGAGGACTGCCTGTGTCCTTGCGTCTGACTGCCACTTCCTGTGGGCTCTCTACCCCCAAACTACCATGCCCTGTTTCCTAAGAACCTAACGGGCAGCACTTCAGCTTTGGGGGACCCTAATTTTCTTCCTCCAGCTATGTGGATTCAACATCCAGACGCTCAACCCTATCCTCCCCTGGAGTCAGCTCTAAGCCTCTCTCCACTCTTTGGGGCCCAGGAGTCCAGGCTCCAACTTCTTCCTCCTTCCCCAAGATGCAGAAGTCCAGACCCCAGAACTCTTTCCCTAGACACAGAAGTTCCAGCCACCTCCTCCCTCAGTACCCCACCTCTTTTCTTTTAATGGACGTAAAATCCACATCACATGAGCAATTTTAAGGTGTATGACTCAGCAGGGTGCAGTCGCTCATGCCAGTAATATCAGCACTTTGGGAGGCCAAAGTGGGCAGATCACCAGAAGTCAGGAGTTCGAGACTAGCCTGGCCAACATGGTGAAACCCCATATCTACTAAAAACACAAAAATTAGCCGGGTGTGGTGGCGCATATCTGTAATCCCAGCACTTTGGGAGGCCAAGGTGGGCAGATCACCAGAGGTCGGGAGTTTGAGACCAACCAGACCAACATGGAGAAACCCCACCTCTACTAAAAGTACAAAATTAGCCGGGCCTGGTGGCACATGCCTGTAATCCCAGCTGCTTGGGAGGCTGAGACGAGAATCGCTTGAACCCAGGAAGCAGAGGTGGCGGTGAGCCGAGGTCGCGCCATTGCACTGCAGCCTGGGCAACAAGAGCAAAACTCCAGCTTAAAAAAAAAGAAAAAAAATGCAAAAATTAGTTGGCCGTGGTGACGCATGCCTGTAATACCAGCACTTTGGGAGGCCAAAGTGGGCAGATCACCAGAGGTCAGGAGTTCGAGCCTAGCCTGGCCAACATGGTGAAACCCCGTCTCTACTAACAATGCAAAAATTAGCCAAGTGTGACGGCTCATGCAGGGAGGCTGAGGCAGGCAGATTACCTGTGGTCAGGAGTTCAAGACCAGCGTGACCAACATGGAGAAACCCTGTCTCTACTAAAAATACAAAAATTAGCTGGGCATGGTGGTGGGCACCTGTAATTCCAACTATTCGGGAGGCTGAGGCAGGAGAATCACTTGAACCCAGGAAGCGGAGGTTGCAGTGAGCCAAGATTGCACTCCAGCCTGGGCTACAGAGCGATACTGTGTCTCAGAAAGAAAACAATAACAATAATAAATAAATAAATAGGCCAGGCATGGTGACTCACACCTGTAATCCCAGCACTTGGGAGGCTGAGGAGGGTGGATCACCTGAGGTCAAGAGTTTGAGACTAGCCTGGCCCATATGGCGAAACCCCATTTCTACTAAAAATACAAAAATTAACCGGTCGCAATGGAAGGCGCCTGTAATCCCAGCTACTCAGGAGGCTGAAGCAGGAGAATCACTTGAACCCAGGAAGTGGAGGTGGCAGTGAGCCAAGATTGTGCCATTGCACTCCAGCCTAGACAACAAGAGCTAAACTCCATCTCAGAAAGAGAGAGAGAGAGAGAGAGAGAGAGAGAGAGAGAGAGAAAGGCAAGAGATTGAGTGGGAATGAGGTTGGTGAAGGACAGAGGAGGAGAAAGAGAAGAAGTGGCTGGAAGAGACATCAGACTGGGACGTGAGTGGGTCTGACACTAGGGAAAGAGACGGGGAGGGTAGCAAGAGTCACAGACCATATGTGGTTTTGAGAACCCCAGTTAGGTCGGCTGGGAGATGTAGGGTAAAGATCACCCACACACAAGCCCATGGAGACCGCAGGCAAGTAGAGGTGGCAAGGGATGGAAGGAGGGGAGCATGAGAAACGATTGCTTAATTGGAATTTCCTTATGGGTTATGAAACTGTTTTGGAACTGCATAGGGGCAATGATTGCACAACATTGTGAATGTGCTAAATGACACTGAATTGAACTTTCAAATGGTTACAGTGAATCTTTTTTTTTTTTTGAAAAGGAGTGTCACTTTTGTTGCTCAGGCTGAAGTGTAATGGCACAATCTCGGCTAGCTGCAACCTCCACCTCCTGGATTCAAACCATTCTCCCACGTCAGCCTCCCAAGTAGCTGGTACTACAGGCATGTGCCACCACACCCGGCTAATTTTTGCATTTTTAGTAGACACAGGGTTTTACCGTGTTAGCCAGGCTGGTCTCGAACCCCTGACCTCAGATGATCTGCTCACCTCCACCTTCCAAAGTGCTGGGATTACTGGTGTGAGCCACTGTGCCCGGCCCTAGAGTGAATCTATGTGAATTTTACCTCAATTTAAAAATAGAGTTGGGCGTGGTAGCTCATGCCTGTAATCCCAGCACTTTGGGAAGCGAAGGCCGGAAAATTGCTTAAGCCCAGGAGTTCAAGACCAGCTTTGGCAACATAGCAAGATTTTGTCTCTAAAAATTAAAAAATTAGGCTGGGTGCAGTGGCTCATGCCTGTAATCCCAGCACTTTAGGAGTCCGATGTGGATGGATCACTTGAGGTCAGGAGCTCGAGACCCGCCTGGCCAACATGGTGAAACACTGCCTCTACTGAAAAAAAAGAAAAAATAGCCGGAGTCTGGCTCTGTCATCCAGGCTGGGGTGCAATGGCTCCATCTTGGCTCACTGCAACTTCTGCCTCCCAGGTTCAAGCGATTCCCCTGCCTCAGTCTCCAGAGTAGCTGGAATTATATGTACGTGCCACCGTGACTAATTTTTGTATCTTTAGTAGAGATGGGGTTTCACCATGTTGGTCAGGCTGGTCTCGAACTCCAGGCCTCTTGGCCTCCCAAAGTGCTAGGATTGCAGGCGTGAGTCACCGTCCTGGCCTGAAATTCTTAATAATTTTTTTTTTTTTTGGAGACAGAGTTTTGCTCTTGTCACCCAGACTGGAGTGCACTGGCACGATCTCAGCTTACAGCAACCTCGCCTTATGGGTTCAAGAGATTCTCCTGCCTCAGCCTCCCAAGTAGCTGGGATTATAGGCATGTGCCACCATGCCCGGCTAATTTTGTATTGTTAGTAGAGGTGGGGTTTCACTGTATTGGTCAGTCTGGTCTCGAACTCCTGACCTCAGGTGATCTGCCTGCCTTGACCTTCCAAAGTGCTGGGATTACAGGCATGAGCCTCCACACCCTGCCCTTAATAACTGTTGAACAAGGGGCTCTGCACTGGCTGGCAGTGGGTGGACTCTTCTAGTCAGAGCAGTCAAGTGAGACCTCCCAGGGGAGGTGACATTTCCTCAGAGACCTGAGGAAGGTGAGAGATGAGCCCTGCAGATGTCTTTGCACAGAGCTTCCCATGCAGAGAGAACAGCGGAGGCCTTGAAATGCAGAAAGTGCAACTTTCAGTGAGGAGGTGGATGGGACCCCCCTTAGCAGGCTGAGCGGTGGGGAGAACAGTTCCAGATAAGGTGAGAGAAGTAACGAGGGTACAAACTGGGCAGGGCGAGGAGGCCATTGTAAGAAAGTCAGATTTTAATCTAGGTGTGTACTAATTAACCACAGCAATTCCATAAAGCTATACACATTTACTTCACCTGGTTTTCACGGTTCACAAATTTAGGAGCTGCTTAGCTGAGGGACTCTGGCTTCGGGTTGCTTGTAAGGTGGCGGTCAAGGCGTGGACCAGGCTGCACAGCCTCCTGAAGACTTGATGCCCACGGGAAGATTATTGCCAGGGTGGCCTGAGCACATGGCTGACGAGCTAGCAGGCGGCCTCGGCTCCTCTCTGGCTGCTGGCTTGAGGCTTCAGTTCCTCAACACATGGACCTCTCCACAGGTGGCTCCAATATCCTCTTTT